TCGTATATAAAACAAAATACAATTACATGTCCCCCTAATCACATGTATCATACTCTGTAAGCAACGTCGAAAGAACTCCCTTACTGATTTTGATAGTTGTACTGGTACAATCTTTTAACCTGAAATGGTGAGTAATAGAGTGAGCTTCGAAAAATTCAGTAATACAGAACTACCAGATGATGCTGAAAAACGTGCAAATACAAATAAACATATATTTCCTTATTGGTTCAGATATCTACAGATTTCTTTGGCTGAGCTGAGGTCCCATTGATATTTCAGGTATTAACAGATAATATTCAGTTCTGATAGAAAATATTTAGGATGTTTAGGTTCAAGAGATCAGAATAGGTTTTCTAGTGTGTTCCCAAAAATCATGTAATTTTTCAGATATTTTTAAAAAATATATATATATATATATATACCTCATCCGTCAAGTCCAAAATATGTAGGTTCCCCAGAACCATACACCCACTGTCAAGTCTAGTAAGGCCCTGAGCACACAACCGAGGAGCCGATAAGTAAGGCCTTGAGCACACAATCGAGGAGCCTCCAGGTATACTTCCTCCAACATTACCCCAAATAAAACTTGTTCCGTCCGTAAACGGATATATCAAAAATCAAAACATAATCCAGGTCAAGTATCAGATCAAAATCCAGGTCAAGTATTCGATCAGAATCCATGTCAAGTATCCAATCAGAATCCAGGTCAGGTATTATAATAGAAATCAAATCGGAAATCAGGTAAAATATCCAGGTGATTAGGGAACACACTAGAGTTTACAGAAATTATTCAGAGGTACTAGATAATCTTAGCAGGTAGAGAAACATGAATCTTCAGTATACCGATAGGATATCGAAAATTATAATCACTATATGAATAGTTCAATAACTAACGAAATCATCAATTATTCAGAATATGACTTGGGCTGAGAAGGAAGAAATGAAGATTCATGACATTTACAGTCTATGTCGATTGATTTCATTATCAAACAACTTCAGATGAATATCTCCCAAAATTAATGCTTATTGACTGGTCAATTCATCGTCTTTACAGAGTATTTACACTTTAATACCACAAATTCTAGTCCATATATAATCTTCGGAATCATCGTTGAATAAATCTTCCAATGTTTTTATTTTTTGTTCACGCTTCCACTATATCATGAAATGCTGACGTGCTTGATTTGTAGTTCAAGATCCATAAGAACATTACATCATGTATGTTCATTAACGTTTCCAGACTCATCCAAATCACTTACTTAATCCTTAGTCCTTGAGGTTACTTAGTTCATTTAGCATTCAAGTATATTTCAGTTACTTCAGGATTTTCCAAAGTAATTCAAATGTTACTGAATTTCATATACATGTTGTACTTCCGTTCCATTCAATTTGGTCTTCGTGGTTGATTTGTCGAACAAGCGTCCAATTCTTAGTACTGAATGTGATATAGAGTTGAGCTGAGCTGAATACTTCCAAAATTTATCATCAAGCCAAACTTGAGAAGACAAACACACATTTCAGTAATATCTATGTCGTTTAGGTATTGACATAGCTTTAGGGTTGATATACTCACTTAAATTACGTTCTATTACTTTTAAAGGTAGTCCAATACCTATGCTTATTTGAATTCTTTAATTAATCCAAGACATTTACTTAATTTAGGCAATAAGGTTATTTTGGTAATTTTGGTGTTCAGTTTTATTCCATTCATTTCAGAGCTCGAGAATATCCAATCATTCCTGAGCTTGGTGATATTATTGGGTCATTTCTATTACAGAGGTATTTTGGTCATTTTATAGATTCAGTGTATTTCAATCATTTTATAGATTCAGTGTATTTCAATCATTTCATTCCGTCCAATCTTACTATTAAATTCAATCATATCATTTATTTTAGTCCTTTCGAACAATTCTGACAACAGAACATCCCGACAAATTATTCTTCAGGTATTTACTCAAAACTCGGATATTTCCGGGTCAAATGTCTTCTCAGATTTTACAAACGGAATATCAAGAATTTTCCTGCACTAAGTCAGGATCTTAACAATCAAATATGTACTTAATCGAGTTAAGTACTAATCCTCAAAGTATTTTCTCATTCAGGGTCAACTCGGACTATTTTACCTCTCAAGGGCATTTTCGTAATTTCTTAACCAAATAATTTCGATATTATCTCTTAACGAAAATAATTATAATTTAGAGATCCTATGATTAATTATTTTTTCGAACATTCTCTGATCTTGAAATAAATCCTTAACAGGCTCCTAAATTCTTGCCCAAAACTTTCTTGGGGTTAAAAACCAGTTATCTGCATTTCCTAAGCAAAATTAGCATTTCTTATGCACATCATAATTTTTTTTTACCGGATCAATATGTCTTTTCAGAGTTATTAACCAACTTCCAGGGACAATTCTTGTCATCCTACAACATAAAGGTATTTTCGTAATTTTACCCTACCGGAGTATTATCATAATTTTCCATCCAAGTACCTTTAACATTTAATCTTTGATGATATAAAATATAAGTTACAAATTCATGGTTGATTTCTTTATCTCTAATCACACAACTTGAAATTTAATTCTAACAATCTCTCAATCTCTTATATTAATCAGTCGATCCGTATTCAGTTATCGAATTTCTACCACATTCATATCGAGTGTATAAATTAATCAACTCCACAAAAGTGATCAACATTATCTTATTCATGCATTTACCAATATCAACATGTTCCATAAAGCATAAAGATGTAGTAAAGTATTACTTCGATTTTCGTGCAATACTGACCGACCATTAAATTATATTCGAACGCCCTCGATCTTGAAATCATCTTCCAATATTTCCTCGGATCTATACCAAATGAAATTACATAAAAAAACGGAGCTTAATTCTGAAAAACGGATCAAATCGGATGATAAATCAGTGAAAATCAGCTTACCGGGTTCGAATTTAGTGAAACGGACTTCGGATTCAGATTCAGGACGTCGAAAGCATAAAATATGACTTTTCGAAAATTTGGAATTTCCGGTCAAAGTCAAAGTAAACAGACTGCGGAATCGGACTTGGAACGTCGAAAAATGTCAGGATATGTATACTCGGTCAAAGTCAAAGGACGTTTAATGTCCGGTCAAAGTTCTGGTCAACGCCGGTCAACAGTCAACATTCGACCATTTTACACAAATATCACCCTAACAAAAATTAATTACAAAATCAGCCACCTTCTGTAAATATTAACGAAACTAACACCCGAATTTTACACAAATAGCACCCAAACAGAAATTAATTACAACCAGACTATGCCCACTCTAAGGGGTGGCGCGTGAACAATGCTACGGTATCGGAAAATTCTCGAAAAATTTCCTAAAAATTATTTTAAGGTATTTTGAGACACTTACCAAGCTCGGTTCACAATTTTGAACGGCGAAGAGCTCGATTCCGAAACGTCGGAAACTTTGACGGTCTCACCCCTCCACGCGTCGACGACGACAGAAACGGAGAATACCGGTGAACTCATAACGATGTAAGGAACACGATGGTGCGGGAGGCGTCGTTAATAGATGATCGGATCGTCATGAATCGACGAAAAACCAATTGAAATCGAGTTATTACCGACGATACTTTCGATTGAAATTAACGACGAACAACGACGATTCACGACGAAAGGTTTGAGGGATTTTGTTCCTCGGTCGACAACGAACACGATGGTAGTTTCGGTTCGTCGAACGACGAGTAGATCGGAGATCGAAGTAGGATGAACGGGGAGAGAAACTGAAAAATGTCTTTGAAAACTGACGGGTAAGAGTTTATAATTCTCTCCTATATAAAATTGACTAAATTAATAGTTTAGCCATTGAATTTCCTGCACTCTATAAAATGGTCTGTCAACTTTGAAATTTTACAATTTAATCCTCAATTTCCTCCCAAAATACCAATTAAATCCATCACTTTATAATTCTTAAAATTTAGCCCATAAATTGGGTGTTACACTAATTAATAAAATAGAGTTTTTCTAACAAATTATAAATCTAATTTTAATCTTACCTAAACGAGAGAGAAAGGAAAGCAAGTGCTCCTAGTAAATCTAGAACTTATAATTTTAAAAAATAAGAAAATAAAGACGAACGGGTTGAACAACTGATAAAATGTACTTATTCATTGAATAAAGTTACAATTATATATTTTATATAAAAAAATATAATTTCACCCGCATGGTGAGTGCAAAAGAATCTTATTTTGATTAGTTTTGAATTGTGTACAGCACGCTACATACTAATAAATTATAACTACAATAATATGATGATGTTTTAAAAAAATTATTTTTATCAAAATAAATAATATTAAAATATAATTTATTATTTTCCTATCTATAATCTCATATTTATTAAATTTATTTTTTAATTAAATTATTATATTTTATGATAATTCAAATAAAATTACAAAATGAGTTCATGTATTTAAAAGATTATAAATTTAAAGTAAAAAAAGGACACAATAATAAAAAAGTTTTCAACGTTTTATTTATAATTGAATCCCTTAACATTATTATGGCATGTCAACGAAAATATTGATAGTTAGAAAAATAGCTTAACTTTATTTTTACAAACCTCTATAACTCGATGATAAAAAAATTGTTGTTATTCTTTGAAGTTCCGGTTTGAGCACCAACAATGTCAGTAGTATGAGCATTTAATGTCAAAAGTTGAGAACTATCTTTAAATATATATTACTTTATACATATCTCAAATTACTAAAAAAGAAACCTTAAATTTTTAAGATTTAAATTATCAATAAAAAAATTTAAGAGTACAATTGAAAATTAATAAAAGTTGAGGACATTTCTTATTATTATGCCTTCACTCAGAATTTTATAAAAAAAATTATATTAAAATTTATGTTAATTTATTTTTAATTATTAAATAGTAATTAGGATTGAGTTAATCTGAATTAGCATTGGTCAGATTTATCATGCCGACATTTGAACAGGTGTAATTTTCTCATTAAAAAGAAAAAGAAAAAAGAGAGAATCTTTATTTATAGTAAAGAAACCAGAAACATCGCATGTTTTGAAGCTTCCTGCATTCTTCTTAAAACCCCACACAATTTTTAGCAAATCTCTGTTAGCATCTCTTCTTTCTTCTTCTTCTTCTTCTTTGCTTTGATGTCACAACATGGAAAACCCAAGATTAATCTTGTGTTCTCATGTTCTACATGCAATATCATTGTTTTCATTTGCATTTTTATGTCAATGCGATCCAGTGTTGTAGCACATTCAGAAAGCTTTGCACTTGACTCACTTTTACAGCTCCCACAATCTGGGTCACCAACAATCTTACCCATAGCTAAAAAGGTTCTATCTCTCTTTGATTTTGGTGCTAAAGGAGATGGTAACCATAATGACTCCAAGGTAACATTTTTTTGGGGGAATAATTCGAGAATATTTCAGGGATGGGGATGGGTTTAATTCAATACCCTTCCAAGCTTTGTTTCTTTTGAATATTGTTCATTCATTGGTTAATAGTGTAGTTGAATTTAATTATTAACATTTTGCAATTTGATTATGAGAATTTAGATAATCAGATCCGCTTATTTACTTTATCTAGAGAAATTTATGGTATTATAGGGCCAATGGTTTTTATTTACCCAAAATGTTAGTTCAGAAAAGAAAACTCGTCTGCTTTTCATGTAAAGTGTGCATTTTGATGTTAAATGTAACCAACTTGTTAAGACATGAAATTGTTTGCTGATATTGTAATGTATTTCTTCTTTTAGGCTTTAGAGAAGGCATGGAATGTAGCATGTTCTTTCCGAGGCCGAATAAGGATTGTATTACCAGCTGGACATGCTTATCTGATTAATCCTGTTCAGCTTGGGGGGCCTTGCAAATCAAAGATCACTTTGATGGTAAGAGACGAGAAGTTGATGATTCGAATTTGTAACCGATGTACCTCGATTTTGTTTATAATAGTACTTAACGTCGAATCTGGTTGCCGTTTGGAGTTGTCTTTAAATAGATTTTGGGTATCATTGTTGCTCCGGAAAACCCCCATGTATGGGATGGTTTGAATCCTCGCAAGTGGCTCTACTTTCATGAGGTAAAACACCTCCATGTCGCCGGGGGAGGCACTATCGATGGCATGGGACAGCAGTGGTGGGCTAGGTCATGCAAAAGAAAGAAAACGAATGTACTGATGCTCTGAATTTCTGTATCTATGCATTTTTTTTCTGAGATTTTCTTTAGCCATTCTTAAAGTGGCTTCAATTTCTTTTTGTTGCAGCCATGTCGCCATGCTCCAACAGTATGTCCTGCGTTCTTATTTCAGAAATGATAGTTAGTTCCATGTGTCTTCTTCTTTACTAGCTAGCCTCAAGGAATGTTATGTGCTCCTTATTGTTTTCACAAATGAAATGCAGGCTTTGACATTCCACAAGTGCAAGGATCTGAAAGTCCATGATATTACGATGGTCGACAGTCAACAGATGCACGTTGCGTTTACGAATTGTCTAAGGGTTACAGTATCCAATCTTAAGGTGATAGCACCTGCTACTAGCCCGAATACCGATGGGCTTCACATCAGTTCATCCCGTAGTGTTGAAGTCAAGAATAGCATTGTAAGAACAGGTTGGTTCTGTTTCCATCTTTTTGGTTTTTTCTTTTCTACAGCTTTCGTGCATATGGACTTCGAAATTATTGTTGGAAAACTTTTCCGAAACGCCATTGATGTTTACATCTTTACTTATAATTAAAATTATAATATCTTTACAATTTACATCTTCCATTCATGATTACATGTACTGGTGTTTCTTATGTTGATTCTTGCTCAATATTCTTTTAGGCGATGATTGTGTTTCGATAGTCGGCAATACTTCTCATGTCCAAATCAGAAACTTTGTTTGTGGACCTGGCCATTGTATAAGGTAAGAACATTTTTTTTTCAAACCGGTTAAGATTAGGGTCAGCAAGAGTAGGTTTATTAACTTTTACATGATACGATTAGCATCGGAAGCTTGGGAAAGTCGAACTCTTTGACACAGGTTCGTAATATACTTGTCGACAGAGCCTTGATTTCCAACACCAAGAATGGGGTGCGGATCAAAACATGGCGGGTATCATCAAGTTCTCATAAATGTCTTTGTTTCGTGTTCATGTGTGTGCAAAATGAGATTAAAAACTAGGTAACTTATACTTGATAATTCTGTTTTTTCACATGTCTTTCCCAGGGAGGTAACGGTTATGCTTCAAATATGAAGTTCATGAACATATTGATGGAGAACGTAGCATATCCGATCGTTATTGACCAATATTATTGTGATTCCGACCTGCCATGTGCTAACCAGGTATCAGTTCTTTATGATGCTTGAACCCAGCAAACAATTTCATATTTTTTATGCCTGGAAAAGGAACTTTATAATGGGTACATTTTCCTTCTCTCTTTAATTGTGTTTTCGCAACTATCCGGGATAACTCTATCATTCTCAGAGTTTAATGTCGTTGATTCATGCAATGGTAATTGTGTCAACTATTAATTTGATGGAATGCAGACATTGGCTGTTAAAGTGGAAAACATCTCCTATGTACACATTAAGGGAACTTCTGCTACAGAGGAAGCAATAAGATTTGTCTGCAGTGATAGCCTGCCATGTGAAGGATTATATTTGGAAGATGTTCAACTCGATTCAGACAACTGGGGTGTCACTTAGTCTTTCTGTTGGGAAGCTTATGGATCGAGTTTGGGTCTAGTGCAGCCCTCTCCGTGCCTAACATGCACTGGTGGCTTCATTAAGCAGAAAGTTCTTTCTGGCCTGGCTGTTGATTCCTTTTGAGATGATCGTAATACTTCCTTTCGATCATGTCGGAGTCAGCCATGACAGAAGCAGTAGGACATTGCTGTAGGGCTCCACAACAGACCTAACAGAAAAACAAGCTTACTCGAAATTTCTGCTGCCAAATTGTAGGAGAATTATACGTGTACGTCGTAATGCTCTTTCCCCCTTCCGAGTAATATATGTAAATAGCAGCTTAGGGAGAAAGATGACAACTATGCTGCAAAACTAGGGCTGTTATGTGTGTATATAAGTTATTGCCACAGAGATGTATATTGTTTCGAGAATTTGATGTTGTTTACGAAAGTTCTGCTTCGATAAAAAGGTGAACTTTCGACCACTTTGCAAAGGAAATATTTAGTATATTACTATTATGAAAAGAATTGCAATGGAAATATTGTTTATGCATGTTGCCATGGATTTACTTTCAATTAAAAGAATTGTAGGCATATTGTCTTCGATTCGAGAAGGGGTTTAAACAAATTACAGATCTTTAGCCTAGCAGAGTAGCTCTTGAGCCTTCATTTCTTATGCATACTTGGAGCGAATTGTGGGTAGTAGATGAGCTACTGTGCACCGAGCTTTGGAAACCCCTCAGCACAAGGCAGGTCCAAATTTTGAATGGTTCTGTTCTTGCAAAATGCTTGCTTGACTGCCCGAATCATCTAGTTTGACATGCTTGGCCTCTCACTCCAAACCGGTGACCTCAACATCAAGATGTCAACTCTCAGTTGCTCAGAATCCGTCGACACTGCATAATGTCACCTCTCATCTAGTTAAATTAAATTTATGAGAGAATTCTCATAAAAATTATTTAAATTATCGATTAAACATTATTTGATGATCATCGCCACTGGATGATGTTCAAACTTCAGAACCAAGATTAACAGGTGAAATATATACCCTTATTTTAAAAAAAACAATCTAATAATTCATTTGTAACATTAACTCCACTAAACGACTATGTTCCCCACTGGTAGGAGGACCATAGCAGTGTCACTTCACAAGCAAAAGGAAAAAGATAGCTTGAACAAATGCTTCACAAATTTGGTTGAAATTTGAGATAACACTAAATTTCTACACAAATATGACATTATTTCAGACCTAAACCAGATCCAGAGGAGGGCCAATGTTACAAGGGACTGAAAACAACTCAGTTGTTCCCCCTTACATGGAGGAAACCAACCTCGAATTCTTCTAATCATTTTGAATGTGCATCCAGTGCACCTCCCAGTCGTGTCAAAAATGAACTTCGAGGCGTCTACTGGTATCAAAATAAACTTCAAAGACAAATATTGTTTAACATTAGTTACTACATCTTGCATTGTTCTTTAATGAAAACTGAAGGGTGATATTAAACAAGTACAAGTGTTGATTAACCCGAAACGATGAAAAACATGGCCATTCTATTCTTCATTACGGCTTATAATCCTAATAACAACATATTAAACTTAGAATCCAAATCCAATATGAAAGCTTACATGTGAAACATGCATAGAGTTAAAAGAATTCATGCCTATTGGAATGTCAAACATCATATGCATGCTTCATTGAGAGAAAAATGGAATTGCAGTAACAAAACATGGAAAATAAGTTGCAAGAAAAGACGGTTCGTGTCCAATGAATGACAAAAATCAGGATAGATCATAATTTCATGATGACTTACAAGAATCTGGATCATGCTCTTCGTTGGAATTCTCGTGAATATCGGACTAACTGAACTGGAACACCAAATTTTTCGAAGAAAAATGGGATCTGCCGTCGCTTTGATGTTATTCTGAGCAGTAAAATTCTCTCCAATTAGTTTTGTAAAACTACAACTGCATCAAGTGAAAGAATTATCAGCTTCTTTTAAGCTGTGTTTAACATTAATCAAACTGGTTGGGTTTCAATCCATCACTTCTTTGACAAAATTGATTGCAAAGAATCTAACTGAGTCGAGGAAAAAGGCGGTTTCCGACTCCTAACCAATTTCATTATCATCTTAGCCTTGCACAGTTGCCCGTTTCTCATAAGGCCTTGAAGCAGTGAATGAATAGTATCCACATTCGGGAACCAACTCTTTCTCATGCAATCTATACACCTTGTATAGGCCAAACTGTACTCCCCTCCTTTGCACAAATAATGGATCATCGTCTGGTAAATCTTAACATTCGGCCTATGCTTACTACATACATTCTAGAGAAGAATAAACCCTTTTAGCCATTTCAAGTAACCGCCTGGCAAAAACCTTTGATTACCAAATTGTAAGAACCTCATCAGGCTCTATCCCAATTTTCTGCATCAAACGCATCGCATCATTAGCTTGCCATGCTAGTCTCCTATTAATCAAATACTGGACCCTAACATTAAAAGTTGTAAGATTAGGTTTACACCCCTTATACAGCATAAGATTCCACAACCCGTTGCCGATCTTGCACCGGTTCTTTTGATAGGATGCTGATATAAGCGTCGTGTACGTAATAACATCTGCTTTTATCCCCAACTTTTCCATCTCGACCATGAACAAATATGCCCTATCAAGAAAATCCATTTCACAAAATGCCTTGATAACTATATTAGCTGTATATATATCCAGTTCGACAAGGAATTTCGACGGAACAACTGCGAGAAATGCCTCAAAAGCTCCCAAATCACGAGTTTGAATCAAAACCTTAAGCGCAGCATTGAAAGATTTAACAGTTCTCTTACATCCATACAAATGCATATCAAGGAAAGTATTGATAGCATGCTTTACCATTCCAGCCTTACCATACAACATTATAATCCTCATCACGAAGCCTTCTCGCCTACCCTGCGGAAGAGTTTTCTGGTGCTCAAGTAAATGCTCGATGTGATCGAAGCGGCCAGCCCCGGCTAATCTAGAAACCGTATCTTCGAAAGCAGCCCTGTTTTCAATAACAAGTCTATTGTGGGCATTCGCCTTGAATAAATCGAATAACTTATCGGGGTCTCTCTCGGCTTTAAGCTTCGCAAGAACAGTTTCTTGTAAAGGTATAGCCTTTGGAGATTGCTTTGAGAAAGCTGTACGTGAACAAAACCTGCGAACCGATCGCAGAAATAACATATTCCAAATATCCTCTCGTCCATAAGACACCAATCTATGAAACTGAAGAATCCCAACAATCCAAGAGACATGAAACTAATAAAATAATACCCATATACCCAAAAAAATAGTTTCTTCAAGGCAATGTAATCAACAAATCTTCAAAAGCAGAATAACCCGGACTTCAAAATAGAATCAAATGCAATAAACAGCACACAGATTAACAGGCGCAAATTATATATAAAAAATCCCAGAAAAAAAAACCTTCTTTAAATCAAAAGTGAAGAGAACGGAGGAGATAAGTTTACCGAAAAAAGTTAGAAGGGAGCTGAAAGAGAGCTAATTTTTCTCTCTGCGGGTTATGGTGGCGCCGGTGAGGATTTGGGGTTTAGGCTTTAGGCTTTGGGTTAGAATATCTGAATCCAATACCATATCTAAATATGGGCTCAAAAATTGACGTGTTTAATTGGGCTGTTAAATAGGGCTTTTTAGCGGGGATAGATATAAATCGGGTCAGATTTTTAGTCGACTCAAATTTGATATGAGTATTCTATATTCATATACAATATATATATATTTTTTCATATGTGATATACGTATATTATACAAAGTCAAAATACTCGACTCAAACTTGAAAATCAATTCACCAATTACTAAAAATTTAAAGTTATTCAAATTATTATTCGAGTTATTTTTTTATAACTTGAATCAAATTTAAATTTTTTTTTGAGTCGAGTCTAATTTTGCTCTACCCAATTTTCCAACAACAAAAACAAAGAAAAAAAGAGGTAAAATACACTAAAAAGCCATTGAACTACGCTGAAATGACCGTTTTAGTCATAAAACTTTTAAAAATTACGAAATGATGGAATTCTTAGAATTGCCTTCCCCTCAGCTGGCATTCTTTCTACAATTCAACCCCTGTAAGTCATCCCTTCTCTGCTTTTCCCTTCCTTTATGCAGGTTGTCAATTATTCCCATTTGCACCGGTTGCAGGTCCATAAGGGATTTCATGTACTATAATGTCGTAAACAACCGGTTCGCGATTTTTGGGTACTTGATGTTTGAATCATGATGTTTTGTCATGATTCTTTATTGTTCGTGCTAACATAAACACAAACATAATTACAAAAGACCACAAAATCTAAATATAAATATAATACATGTATTGAATGTTTGTCGGTTTAAAGGTATCAGTGTCGTGTTTATGACATCGTTCCGTGCCCTATTAAACGAGTCGCTAGATCGGGAAGATAGTAGCCTCAAAGTAATGTTGAAACAATAACATTGGAAGATTCGTGCGTGATTGTATAAAAATGCACACACGAAAAGGTACAGTTATATCTATAATAATCCTATAAGAATCAACAGCTTAGATTACAGGATTTCGATTATTATCCTTTGAATGAGGAGTTAGTGGTCTCCTAATCCACCATTGAAGGTTTGGTTTAAAGAGTTTCGCCTGCAAGTAGCCTTTGTAAGCCAACTGCAAATCTGCCAAGAAGAAGAAGAGGCAGACAGTTAGCTATAATTCGGGTTAATTTCGGTTCCGGAATCTTTGATAAATCGAGTAATTTACCCTATAATCAACAGGACTAAAGCAATGCCGAAGAATGCATATTGGTACCACTTGTGCTTTGGGACTTTATGTTTTATCTTATATCCCTCCGGAACATGCCTCGGACTTATGTATCCGAACTGTGGTCGCATTAGAAAGGCGAATCCGGCGAGTAGTCCCGCCGCGAACCCTCCTAAATGAGCTGAATTATCGACTTGAGGTAGGAATCCGACGGCGAGGTTCAGGAAAATGATCAACAACATGGTGAACAGAGCTGAACACTGAATGGACAAGAGTTAACTTATGTAATATAACTCGCACTTCGTGCACTAGAGAAGAGATTTAAGATATATACCGCGTTTACCTTGTGTGTATAGTTCGACCAGTTGGTAATAAGCTCGGAAAGCATGGCTCCCAAGAGTCCGAAAAGCGCACCGGATGCACCGACGGAAATGGTTTCTTTCCGAGCTTCGGATAGAGCCGATGCCAAGCTCCCACCGAGGCCGGAAACCATGTACAACGGACCGATTCGCACTGCATTTGTTTACGTAACTAGAATTATTTACCATATTTAAGGGGTGAAAAAAAACCTCACCGGTAAATATTTTTAAGAGATGAAGTTCATACAGAATCCAAATTCTTGCTCCAGTCGGATTCCCAGGAACAAAAGGCTTAACATATTAACAGCTAAATGGATGACACCTGCATGATACCACATGCATGATACGAGACGCCAATATTCCTTCTCCTCTACCACTAGTTTCCAATCAAGGGCTCCTAGTTTCTTCAACCTGCAATTAAACCCTAAATCATATCATATCATGCATGGATATATGTATGTATGAGGAGAAGATTCTTACGTGATGCATGAAGGGCCGAGAAGAGGGTTTTCTTTAAAACTTTGAAACGAGAACCTTCCGAGATATTCATGCCCGATACATTTTTCGGTTCCCGATAAATGTGGACAATCATTGACGTACATGGTATAAATAAATATCGCTATGTCGGCGACAAATACCAGAGGCATTAGCCATGGTGTCCATGGTTCGGGGGGCGGTGGTGGCAGAGGCGATGGTTTTCTCTTATTATGTGACCTGTCGGGATGTTGCGTGTGGTTCGAGGTTCCTTTCTCAATATCGTGTGATGGTGATGGTGAGGGTGAGGGTGACGACGATGGTGACGGTGGTGTCCGTCCCCTCCCCATGACTTAGAGGAAGAGACGTTGAACAAAATGGACGTCAATGCCGCTGCCGCTTAGATGGGGGAGGGGGTGACGGCGGTGGAAGGTGTGGTTAGGCACCAAAGAAAGAGGGAAGGAGAGACGAGGAAGATATTAAGAGGATTTGGATGGCAATGAATGAATTTTGCTATGTTGGTAGTTAGTTAAATTTTGGTATTTCTTTTCTCTTTTTCCTGTTAATACAAGTTTATTGGGCAAAAATATCTTATATATTACGTATACTGTGTATATATAATAGATGTTCATTAATAATTATATTTTATTATTTTTTAATCACCTCCAAAGTATTCAAAGAAATAAAAAACATCTCTTCTTTTAATTCTCAAATTCTCTTTTCTATATGTTAAGTAAAGCTTTAGTGATATTTGATTGATTATTTCTATTTTTGGTTCTTTCATCATTTGGGATGATATATTATTAATTAATGGATCACACAAGATCATATGATATAAATAAATAAATTTATTGAATATAAAATGAATATTATTTTTTAGAACATTTAAATTCGAATAATTGTGTATGTAAAGTGTCTGTACATGATCATAAACTAAAAACACATTTGAAATTCCAAATAAAACCCAAAAACATTATTAATTATAAATTCCTAATAAAAAATAAATTAAAATTAAGAAAGGAAAAAAAACCATTCCTATTTCCTAGTCCTCCATGTAAATTCCCACAACGGGGAAGCTTTCCACTGTACTACTGGCCCATTTTTCGGATCTCTCATTTTTTTCCCTACAAATTCTCACCTTATTTTTCTTTATATATACATTACAAATGTTTCTAAGCTTTTTGCTTGTTCAAAGCTCTCTTTTAATTAAGGTTGGTATTTTGAGTCTATTATTTTAAAACTTTTTTCGTTTACTTTATTATTTTTATCTCATCGCGATTAGCAATAACGATATCATCTGAATTATAATTTTATCGAATTTATTTATAGGTGAAAAATGGCCGCGATATCGCTCCATGGGAATTTACATGCTACCGTCTATGAAGTTTGTAATCATCGGGGTGGTGGATTCTTCCATAAGGTATAAATTCTTAGACATTTTTATATGGGAAGCGAAGAGGGTTTAGGATTAAGTTTATAGTTTTATTATATCTAATGATAGGCATGAGATTGGAACTAACGAGTTTTGATTTGATTTTATAAGATCGAAGTATTTTTTCTTATTAAAAATTTAACTTTCGGATGAGTTGGATCGATTTTCTAAATGATAAATTCGAGTTTAGATTTAAGGTGAAAAATCTTTGATGGATCCGAGAAAATAATATAATTATATCTTATTTTTAAGATAATTGTAATAACACCTTTATCTCTTAATTTTTTTTCAATTAACTGTATATTTTATCTAATCAAGATAAAATTATATATATATATATATATGTGTGTCAAGTCAAGTACGGGATTTTATCTAGAGTCAAATTTCAGGTCGGATAGAGTATCTCTAGATCTGAATCAGATCAGATAACCGATATAAGACTAAAATGTCCAAATAAAATTTAGATCGATCAAAACCTAACTCTACATGATCCATGCCTATCTCTAATTACACCGTAGGATTGGTAGACAATTATAAGACATTTTTATTTTTATTTTCTCAAAATTCGATATGCACAATCTATTTAAATAAAACATAAAATTTAATGATTGGATTATTAAAATAAAATTATAAAAATTATGGTAATGTGTAAAACTATTTAAATATTACATTAATATAAATGAATCACTCTCTATATATTAAGAACCCTTCAGTAGGCCTACCAAATGCCATTAAGAGGTCTAATTATGTACCTCATATATTTCTTCAAATTTAAATTTTGAAAATTTAATTTATTTTTTTCTATTTATCTAATTATTAAAATTTAATCACACCATTTGTTTGATATTAAATTATTAAAGATAACATAGTCTAATTTAACAGAAGTCCGTTAACATTGGAATCAATTTAAAACTAATTTTTAAATCAAACAATTAGGGAGATTAAAATTCTATAAATTAGAAGTAGAGGGACTGAATTTAAAATTTTCGATGTGTATAAGGACTGGGACAAAAATTAGACCCTCTTACGATATTCCCTTCACTATGATTCTTTTCCCAAACCATTTTTTGGGAAAATAAAAAATGTAATAATGTCTGTGCATATATATATATATATATAATTGGCATTTAAATATAATCCAATATATTTTTTTCGAGATCTACCAATGTTCGATAGTGACAAAAATCTCGATTAAGTTTAGAGTGAATTCGGACCGAACTATGTTTAGAGCTAAATTTTCTCACTATATTCTTTTGTAGTTAATGGCGAAGGCGGAGGAGACTATTGGTCTCAGCGAAGGTGGGGCTAAGATTTACACGACGATCAGTCTCGGAACGGCTCGAGTCGGAAGAACACGAAAAGTCGAACATGATGAAGCTGCGTGGAACGAGTCATTTCACATATACTGCGCTCATACGGCTAAGCAGGTAATATTCACCGTGAAGGATGCAAAAACTATAGGAGCAATTCTAATTGGCAAGGCATATTTGCCTGCTATAGACCTCTTGTCAGGGGAGGAACTGGATAAATGGCTTGAACTCAGGGGTGAAGACAATGAGCCCTTGGATAATGATGCTAAAATCCATGTCCGGCTTCGATATTTTGATGTTACGAAGGACCGGAACTGGAACCGTGGCATCATTAGTCCGAAATTCCCCGGTGTTCCGTATACGTATTATTCTCAGAGGAATGGCTGCAAGGTTATACTATACCAGGATGCACATATCCCTGATGGATTTGTTCCCCGAATTCCGCTTGCCGGAGGCAATAAGTACGAGGTGCATCGATGTTGGGAGGACATTCTCGATCATATCAACAATGCCAAACACTTGGTTTACATCACCGGTTGGTCCGTTTACACTGAGATCAAATTGATGAGAGATTCGAAGAGGTCGAAGCAGGGGACGGACACCAAGCTTGGTGATCTTCTTAAAAAGAAGGCAAGTGAAGGTGTTAGAGTGAATGTGCTTGTTTGGGATGACAGAACATCTGTTGGTGCATTGAAGAAAGACGGGCTGATGGCCACACATGATGAAGATACCTTGCAATTCTTCGAGGATACCGACGTCAACTGCGTCTTATGCCCTCGTAATCCCGATGACAGCGGAAGTTTCGTCCAGGACTTGCAGATCTCCACAATGTTCACTCATCATCAAAAGATCGTTGTAGTGGACGCATCGATGCCTAATGGTGATTCGAAGAGGAAGAGGATCGTGAGCTTTATCGGCGGTCTTGATCTTTGCGACGGACGATACGACACACCTTTCCATCCCCTTTTCAGCACTCTGGACACAGTTCACAATGATGATTTTCATCAGCCGAACCTCCCTGGGGCTGATATTACCAAAGGTGGTCCGAGGGGACCATGGCACGATATCCACTGCCGACTCGAAGGACCTATAGCTTGGGATGTCTTGTTCAATTTCGAGCAAAGGTGGAAAAAACAGGGTCGTAAAGATGTACTCTTAGATCTCAACGACCTCGAAGGTACCATCATTCCCCCATCTCCGGTTATGTTCCCTGATGATCGCGAGACATGGAACGTTCAACTATTTAGATCAATCGATGGTGGGGCTGCTTTTGGTTTTCCTGATACACCTGAAGATGCTGCAAGAGCTGGACTTGTTAGCGGAAAGGACAGTATCATCGATCGAAGCATTCAAGATGCCTATATCAACGCTATCCGACGAGCCAAGAACTTTATCTATATCGAAAATCAATATTTCCTCGGAAGCTCCTTCGATTGGCTCGACGAAAATGATGGCATTAAGGTCGAGGGTGTCGAAGCTTTGCATTTGATTCCGAAAGAGCTTTGTCTTAAGATAGTTAGAAATATTCTTGCAGGGGAGAGGTTTGTAGTGTATGTTGTTATCCCTATGTGGCCTGAAGGAATCCCAGATAGTGGAGCAGTGCAGGCAATATTAGATTGGCAAAGGAGGACCATGACCATGATGTACAAAGAAATCGTTACGGCTCTTCGATCGAAGGACAACGACGAGGATCCTCGAAACTACTTAACATTCTTCTGCCTCGGCAATCGAGAAAAGAAGGTGGATGGTGAATATGAACATGAAAATAGACCGGACCCCGATTCGGATCACGAAAGAGCTCAAAATTCCCGTCGTTTCATGATTTATGTTCATACCAAAATGATGATAGGTAAGTGACGAAACCCGGATTCGAATCTCAGCATATGCAACTCCCATTGTGTTTAACAATGCTTTCTTTTGTTGCAGTTGATGATGAATACATAATAATCGGATCTGCCAACATCAACCAGCGATCGATGGATGGTGCACGAGACTCCGAGATAGCAATGGGAGCCTATCAACCCCATCATTTATCGATTAGGGTACCGGCAAGGGGTCAAGTCCACGGTTTCCGAATGGCACTGTGGTACGAGCACCTCGGCATGCTCGACGACCGGTTCCTGTACCCGGAAAAGAAGGAATGTGTGAGGAGAGTGAACCATCTGGCTGACAAATATTGGGAACTGTACTCAAAGAACTCTCTTGATCAAGACTTGCCTGGTCACCTATTGGCCTACCCTGTTGGCATTGCTAGTGATGGGACCATAACTCAATTGCCAAACTTTGAGTACTTCCCCGACACAAAGGCTAAGATTCTTGGTACAAAATCTGATTATCTCCCTCCCATCCTCACTACTTAATGGATCTCCATGGAAGGAATAAAAAAACCGGATCGGAACAGCCAATTGAATCGGTGGATCCGGCCGCCGATGTCAAGTCTAACTTGTGAAGTATAATTGAAACATCTGATTCGATATTCTTTAAATAAAATCGTATTTCAAATTTCACGAACAAAAATAATGAAGATAATTTTATTTTCATTTGAAATATGAGGTATCAAAGACTTGAGAGCTGAATATAATGCCTACGGCTGGGGCTGGTCAGGTACTTTGGTAAGTGGTTGATTGAGTCATCAAAATCTTGACAATTCATTGCACTATAGATAATGACAGAGAAGCACCATTAAAGCTGATTTTGAGATTTCTCTTAATGTCAGATAATCAAAATATCATGGGTAAAATAAATCACAGGTCGCTCGATTTTTAGTTCAGTTAAAAACACGTCATTATTTTTAAAGTTATAATTTATTAACTCAGTTAAAATATCACTCCCCTGTTAAACATGTAATAAAAGTCTAACATGTCTGGTTATAATAACAGTTTTAGTCCTTAATGCATATATATTTTATCAATTTAATCCTAATTCGAAATATTTAATAAATTTAATATCACTTAAGCAGTAAATCAAATCACTTAGTCATTTTTGCAATGTTCATTGGATTAAAATAGTAATTGAATAATGGCATTCTATCTTAAAGCAGCAACATGTTATTGATAAAAGCCTTTAATCAATGAATATTAGCCAATCGTATGGTCAAGCAAGCATAGCTTGCAGACTTACAAAGTACTTGTGTAACGAAACCTATGACATAAAGATGAGATCGTTCAACGACTGATACAACATGCACCCGTTAGGATGAAATATAAAAGACGGTATCCTTCAAATGTACAACGAGAAACAAATTTCTTAACGAAGATTTTGCCAACTCTCTTACTCCGTGTTTCACACAGAATAATAAAACACGTTACCATCATTGATAAAATTCAAAATCATATAAAATATTGGGAGCAATTATAAGCGGAAAAAAAGTAATAAACATTTTTAGGAGAAGGTGGACTAAATTATAGAATTTTTAAATATGAAGAATTAAATTTATTAAATCATTTATAGTCAGACTAATAATTGATTGATCTGAAATATATTTTACCCAAATATCGTATGCTAACTTTTTCCACCTCCATTCATATGCATTGATCAAAAGTTACAAATGAAGCAAAGAAAGGACAAGAATGAATGATTCTCTACGTTAATGTCACAAATTTGGTAGTGGCAAACAAGGAAACCCATTCTCTTTTTTTAACCATTTCCATCTCCAAATAGTACACAATCCTGCTTTGTGGTTTGCTTGGATTTTAGCAAAAATTTTAAATCAAGGAAGGTTCCCATGAAAGTCTCCCCCCCCCCCCACCATGTTATGGCATTAAATCCCTTGGCTTTAGTTCTGCATTGGGTATCTTACTCCAGCTGCTAGTACTCTTTGCTGCTGTATCTTGAATCATTTATGAATGATAGAAAAGTGGTAAGTAAAATCATTAATATTTGATAAAAATTGCTTTGTTTTAAAACAGTATGAAGAAAATGGTACCTGGAAAAGTTCATGCAATTTGTTCCTGAGGAAACAATACTCATGTTCTAGCAGCTCCAATGCTCTCAGACACCTGCATCAATGCTAATACATAGGTTGGATTGTTTTCGAATCGAGACTCGGAATAAAGATGGTATAAGGGATTGAACTCTTTATCATTCGATTCAATTGTGTTAGCGAAATACAACATGCATACTAACCCGGCACGATTGTTCTGCTCGGAAGCGGCTCGAAAGGCGACGCAGACATTTCTTATCCTTTTGGCACCAATGCTCGAGCTGCTTCCCATGAACTGATTCAAATGGATTCCTATTTTATTATAATCCGAGAACTCTCTGTCCATCCTACAAAAGACGAAAGCATAATTTTTTGTTAGAGAATGAAAATTTTCAAAGATGACCGTCCCATCAGTTCCGTCGATCCATCTCTAATCCTACATCATACATTACCAAGTTCATAAACCAAGTAACCAAATCAACACAACTGACTGAGAAAATGAAACAAGCAATTGATGATCATTACAGCAACGATCTGAGGTTCCTCAGAAGCTTCTCCGATTCATGGAAGTAGATGTTGACGACTTCCGATACGAAATTCGGCGAGGATTCGTCTTGAAGCTGTTGGAGTTGCAAGAATTGCTCGTCGAGTATCCCCTAATGAAACACCAACTCATTAAAGAAATACAACAAAGCAGGAGTCTTTGATGAATGATGATGAGAAATTTACACACACCTGGTGGAAGAGGAATGCGAGCAGACGGTTCATGTCCGCTCGCAACCGATCGGCAGCCAACCCCAACATCCACACTGGCAGACCCGTTTTGGCTACTGGATTGTTGAACCCGCACACGAGTGTGAGTAAAAATTTGACCCGGAAACGAAAACGGGTGGGGGTTTCTTCTCTGTATGAACAGGAAACTCCTGTTTGTTGATTTCGAAGTTTTCAGGGTTTAGGGTTTTGTGTGTTCTTTGTTTTCTGTGTTGAAGCGGGAATGTTTTTCACACATGGAAGCTTCCAAGTTCAGCAGCTATTTAAAGCATGAGAGATTAGCTACCTAGAGATAGCTTCGACTCCAAACTTCAACACTCAAAACTATAACAATACTAACAATATAGTTTAGGGTAAACTACACGTTTAGGACCCCAAATATATTTTTTCAAAACTATACCTAATGTTATATTTCAATTTCATTTTGATCATCTACTGTTAAAAAATTAACAAAACTCCTGACGTGGTATTTAAAAAAAAATCAATAATGAAACTTTTATAATTTCATCCATATGTCATGTCGGTGTTGTAATTATTATTCTTCGATATCTTCCTCGACCAATCAAGATATCGACAAACTTGTTTCATATCTCCTACCAGTCTTTTATTTTAGACTTTAACTAAATAAAATAAAACTTCATTATAAATCCAAAACTCATGAAATCTAAACCATTATAATTTATAATCTCCACCATCTGTTCAACGTGGAATAAAGATATACAACTTTTTTTTTCTTGTTTTCATCTTCCCACAATTAAAACTTAGAAAAGATACTTCATCGTCAAAAAATTAAAGAAATTCAAAATTAGGAGTTTTTCATAAAAAAACAACGTTTAGAGGTCAATTCATAAATATATATATTCAGTCAAAACGTATTAAATATTTAATGATGAAATAAGTCAAATAAAAATAAATTAAAAATAAATTATTTTAAATTTTGGTTAACCAAAATACGAATGAGATGAAAATTGAAGAATTTTATTATTAACCATTGATTAAAATATTTTTTTGGTAAAATACACAAATGGTCTCTCGACTATAGTGAATTACTTTATTGAGTATCTTGACTATTAAAAATTATAAAATGGTCACCTAATAAATTATATGATCCAAACTCGTCTTTTTT